ATGTCTGGAATTGACTGCGGCGCGACCGCCCGCATCTCGCATCCGAAAGTTCACTCAAGTATGAAACGCGTTTAATACATACTTCTAGAGTAAATTTTTTATCGAAAACGTTTAATAATAATATTTTACGGATTCAGATGTTTTCCGTGACAGCGGGTATATTTGCGTTAAGTAACGTACTCATGTGGTGGGCATATACGAAGTCATTATCGCTAGCTGAGTCTTCAATACAATGTTTGGCAATAAATATGGGAACGAATTTCGCTTTAACCGTGAGTTTTTGTGGTTTTACTTTTTAATCGAAAGGTTGTGCGTCGTGTTATCATCTCTATGATCCGACCCCGCCCAGTTCACCAAAGCCATCTCATTCTTCTCTTTTCTTTTCAAAGGTTACTGCGGATGTCAGGTTTCTGAAAGGGGAACTTAACTGGCTCAGAGGCTATCCAGACCTGTCCGTTAAAAAAGGTCAAGCAAAAGTAAGGGTCAGCAAAAAATTCGGTTTGCAAAGAGTGTTGAACACTTGGCGCAAGAAATAGGGGCTGAACCAGTGCTTTTTTTATTCTCATAAGAAAGTCATCCTGGTCTTGCCCGACGACTCAATCAGTTTGAAAATACATTCGCTTTCATGTTGTCTCTTTTAACAGTTCCAAAACCGGAATAGGTTTCTTATGTCCAAATTGGTTTCCATTTTTTCATAGGGATAACGGCTCAGGACAAGGATTTCAATCAACTGACAATGAGTTTGTTACTATCCAATTTTTTCATAGGGATGACGGCTCAGGACAAGGATTTGAAACAAATGACAATGAGTTAGTTACTAACTCACTGGGGATAAGTTAATCGGTAAAACGAGAAGTACTCAGGAATTTGCACTGAAGTTTGCAGGAAAGTGGTGCATAGCAAGTTGAAATCGGAGGTGAATGGGGTTTGAGAGGAACAACGACGACGTTCATACACGACGAGAATGCGACTGGCCGAGTTGTGTGCGTACGGGCGTTCACATAAAAACCCTCTCAAACTAGGGCGTGTAAAAGGCCGACATTCGGCGAGAAATAACGTTCGAACTGTTTGAAGAGGAAACAATTTGTATTGGGATGTCCGACAAAGGACGTGCTCTATTAGGTCAAATCGTTCGTGTATAGATCTAGCCGTAAGACGATGAAAGTGAAGGGGCTCGATCTTTAGATTAGTTTCAATTTGGAAATTGAAATATCTGGGTCTAGCTCTGGTAGATATAGTCGGCGTCGTGGCAGAAGAGAAATTTCAGGAACTGCAAAGAAAGCTCAGTTTATTCTTTGTATCTTAGTAGCCACTTGAGTTGTCTGCTTCTGTTTTAGACCACTAAGGCGGAACTGCTTGATCCCCTTCCTTAGCGTGGTTTCTGTTCGCTACCTGTCTACGTTTTCTTAATATCCGGCCACCTTATCCTCGTCATTTCATTTGTCTATCCATCTTCCATTCTCGCTTTCCTAACCTAAATCTGAGCTTTACAATGCCTTGTAGTGAAGAAGATTCGGTTCCATCGGCCATGCGTAAACCTCGTATGTAGCAGGAAAGCCGCATGGCCTTCGTTCCCTTCAAGTCAGTCAGACCTCACAATGGAGTGTCTCTTTAAGAGGAAAACGATAGAGACCCTTTACCAACCATTGGGTCTGTATTTTTTAGGCATTCCATGTTTTTGGAGATTTTTTTTAGTATAGTTGTAATTTAGGGCGTCCTCGGCTACTTGTTCTTCTCGGAAACCCATTCTATACTGTGGTGCGTTGGCCTCGGTTTGGTCTTCACGGGTATCTGCTTGCTGGCTACGGATGACAAGGAGAAAACCGAATAGGTGACCACAACACTGAACTATTTCTCACCATATGCATGAACTTTTGTCGTTTATATATCTTTCGTTGTTTTTTCGAATACACATGCTCTCTTTGTACATAAATATTTTCTCTTGTTATCAGTTTTCCATGTTTTTTGATGCGAGTAAAAAGTTACAATGTTGGAGGATGATTGTGCCGTTTCGGATGTGTTATATTAGGTTTTTGGAGTGAAATAGTTCCGAATCGTTCGTATTTCTCTAGCAGGACAAAGCAGCTGACGGATAATTATGAACTCCTGTTTGGAGCACAGGCGGACAGATAAGTATGAACCCCAAACATGTCTTGGGATCTTACTCCAGGGCTAGAGAGAATCAGATCAAATCAAATCAGACTTCTCTTTTGCAATTTATCTGGTACTTCCGGCTTGGGCAAGGATCATTTCTGATCGGATGTTCCAAATGGCATAGAATGTTTGTGCAACTGCAGCGATATGAGCGTCGAAGTTAGAACAGCGGCTTAATCTGAACTTCGGCCAATATTCGGCATGATTGGCCTTATAAAGAGAGCCCACGCTATCGTAGCACTCCTACCGTCCTCATGGGTTACTGTATTTTACTGTTGGCTGCGATTCATGTCAGCAACGTTCTAGCACAGTCATGTGCAGATGGAGGAGTTGGACGTAAGATTATTTAAAATTCAAGCCTAAGGATTCCCTTCAACAAAGAGAGGGGCTGATCATTAACGCTGAACTGTACAGGGTTGATGCTCTTGCGAATTCGCCAAGTAGCATAAATACGGGACCGTAACCACCTAAGATTTCTTGGGTTTCAGAAAAAAGACCCTACAACTTGTTAGCTCCTTCAGTGAGGGAATCGAAAGACCTTCGAATCATCCCGGCAAGATCCTAAAGCCTTTTTCGACTATGGCCTCTGTTGGTGTTAGTAATCCTGCGAGACGTAAATTCTCTGAAGGGAAAGCCAGAAGGGATTCTGCAGGTGGACTTG